AAATAATAAAGAATTCAAGAATATATCGAATCGAATGTAAACTTTCATAGCGGTTAGTAGATTTATCATTCGTTGATCGAATATTAATATGAATAATACTATTCGATTGTATTTTTATTTTTGATTGATCATGACACTAGATAAAGTCATACTGAATCATACTTGAAAAAAAAATTGTACCTTCTTGATGTTTAAGTGATCGCTGATGATCAAGATATGATACTTGTATAAGATTTGTCTGAGTTGACAATGCATTACCTAAAACACTTATTATTCTCTATTAAGAAGATATTTCTTTAACTAATGTTTACTTTTCGTTATTTTATCCATTTTTTTTTCAACAACGGACAATACGTTATTATATTTTTCTATTTCTTTCAGTGATCGAGCAAATATGAATTGTTCCACTGATTCGATGATTAAATTGAAATATAAGAACGAAGAAAGTTGAGGATTTTTTATTTGTCACGTATATGAAAGACATAAGATGGATTATAGGAAAGTTTCATATGTTTACATAGTATATTTAAGAGTTTCGCTACTTGAATTAACGAGAAAGAAAATTATACATGTCCATTATTTCATTTTTATGTTCCATGCAAAAAGATTGTAGATACTTTATTTTATTCAAACAAAATCAGAAAACTAGTAAAACTATACTTTTGAGTATTGAAGAAAATCTTGTATTCTATAATTATTTGAATTTTCAACATATAAATGGAGTTGACTGTTAAGTTCTATCGACCAGAATGTACTGAACAATGTAGAATAGCTACCATTAACATCTATAACCCCAGCCAATTTCCATTCATATCACCACAATGACAAGATTACTCGAGAATTAATGAGAAAGCTTGTTAGTGCAGCTTCTATGAGACTAAAATGTAGAACTCCCATACGTTCTTTAGCTTCATTAAACTAATACAACATACGTCAAGTGAAAAGTCTGTCATAGACTATAGTTATTTTCTAAGATAATCGGTCATTAGAGAAAGAATCTGTCTTATTTATTGCTACATTTCAAACAGAACTTTTTTCTTTTTTTTCCCCCACAAGTGCCCTATTTTTGTTTGTATTGTTGCTATTCACTCATTATTTTTCTTTTTCGTATTTCTTAATTTAACATTGTTATTACTATAAACATTGCAATAAATGGCAAATAAGACTGTTATAAATATCCATTATATCCGCAGCAACAGAGTGGGATGGGTGTGTATTTTTACTTCACCCACACCCACACACCCCATCTTATCCTCTCCTCTTTCGGTATATATGAGCAACAGGAATGAAAAGAAAAGTTGAACATTGTAGTAGTAACATGTGAAAGAGTAACATACAAGAAATAGTACGTTTCAAGTAAAAAATTGGGCATGAAATAAACTGAAGTACTAAATATCGAAGTTATATTGTAAACATATTTTGTTGCACTTATGTCTTATGTAGAAATTAAAACACATGTAAAGAATACGTTCTCTTGCCCTTTGTTCGAGTTAAAAGGACAAGAATCGACAGTGATCGTATTACAATTTAGAAAAGGTAAGTAAAAAGGTTATGTAATTATGAGTAACATTTATTGCTAGAACTATAACTTACTCAATAACAACAATTTAATTCTATACTGATGTTTGTTTCATTCTTTTTAGAAAAGTTTTTTTTATTAATGTTACACAACAAACTGAGAATATTATAGCTGATCATCTTTCAATCATTTAAACATAATACTTGAGTATTTTCATCATTATCATAATAGTCTCCAATCATTTCATCATATATCTATCTATAAGAGATATTTTGTGTGGTCCATTTGAAAGTTTTCATTTGATTGTATAAAGAATTTTTTCTTTAGAAGAGATTGAAAACATGATCGTCACAGTGTTTCGTTTAGTGAATGAAATGATCTGTAAGTTGATTATGACTTCATTCTTTTTTGTTTTTTTGTAAGACCTTTTAGATAATTATAATAAATGGATGATCAATTTTTTCTTCGTCGTGCTGATATTTCTGACATCAATGCATTATCTCAACTTTATCAAAAGGTTTATCGAGAAACATATGCAGAAGATTTATCCATTCCTTATCCTGAAAATGAGCTGGATGCTTATTTTTGTTCATCAGCTAGTCCACAAAGTTTTGCCAAGAAAATAATTGATCCAAAACGAGCTATTTGGGTAATAGAAGATAAACGAAATGGCGATCTTATTGCCTTTGCTTCTGCTGGTCCTTGTAATGAAATTCTTCATCCTGATGTTTGTTTAAATAAAGATGGAGAAATCAATCAGTTATACATTCAGCGCAATCAGCAAAATCATGGGTTTGGTCAACAGTTGATGAACGTTGTTTTACCTTGGTTAGATGAATACTATCCTGGACGACCTATATGGCTCTCTGTATGGTTTAAGAATTACAAAGCACAAAAATTCTACCGATATTATGGTTTCGAAAAAGCTGGTGAATCGGATTTTAATATTGGGCAATGAAAAGATCATGATTTTATTATGAAACGTCCAGCGCATACATCCTAACATTTTTTTTCATTATTTTACCTAAAATTACTTCTAATTAATTTGATTGAATTAGTAAAATATGTGCTTTTTTTGACTAATTCAATGTGAACCATCAACCATCAATGATCAATTCAAATTATTTTGTGTACTATTAAAAGCCAATTAGAAAATAGTTGTTAATTTCAAAACACCTACAATTGGCCATCTAATAAACAATTGGATGTGTCGATTCCAGATTCGCGTGAATATTGAAAATCCTATATCGAGTCCTTGATTTCTTATTTTCTGATAGGTCGAGAGCTTAGTGATTTATCTTTGAATGCTTAAGAATTGAGCATTTGAACGGTTTTTATCGCACAGATCGAAACTTATTCAGGGTAAACTGAATTTGTTTGATAGATATCTCACTTGCGAGTCTCTGAAATCTGTCGAATACACGCAGAGGGGGAGATATTGAACAGAGATGTAGATGTAGATAATACCCACAACTGTTTGGAACGGTGGTTATGATTCTATAATATACTCCTGGAAAGCAAAAGTTAGCCACTTTATTTTGGGTACATCGTTACTATAACAGCATATTTTTAAAATAATAATACCATATTCGAAAAGCGCATAAAATTCTCTACTACCCTCTATATTTGTATTTTGGTTTTCACTTTTGAATGATCAACATAAATTGAATATAATGAAGACACCTTGATGTTCAGATTCCCACAGACATGATTTTGTCACTGTAATCAAATTAAGTTTTTTAGATTTTGCATCACCGTCACCTTAGAATATTTGTTTTGAAAGAGCAATAATATATTCTGATAGCGCTTGAAATTCTCTATCTTTCTATATATTTATTTACTCTCTGACATTTATCTATTATAAAAATAATATAAGAACAATGAAGTCATCTCAATTGACAATTTCGAAAAATCTTGTGTATGATATATTTTTTCGAACTATAAGCACAAAGAAAATTATTTTTTTTATGAAAGCGATTATGCATTTTGATAGAGCTTCAAATTCTCTATCACCCTATATATTTTTGTTTTATCCTATATTTGTGTGCTGAATAATAAATTGAGTAATATTTAAACATCCTCGTTGATCAACCCTAAATTAGACAGAGAACATCCCAAAAAATAGCGAAAAAAGTTGTGGATCTTTTCGAAATTGTCAATTGAAATGACTTCATTGTTCTTATATTATTTTTATAATAGATAAATGTAAGAAAGTAAATAAATATATAGAAAGATAGAGAATTTCAAGCACTATCAGAATATATTATTGCTCTTTCAAAACAAATATTCTAAGGTGACGATGATGCAGAATCTAAAAAACTTACTTTGATTACAGTGACAAAATCATGTCAGTGGGAATCTGAATATCAAAGTGTCTTCATTATATTCAATTTATGTTGATCATTCAAAAGTGAAAACCAAAATACAAATATACAGGGTAGTAGAGAATTTCATGCGCTTTTCGAATATGGTATTATTATTTTAAAAATATGCTGTTATAGTAACGATGTACCCAAAATAAAGTGGCTAACTTTTGCTTTCCAGGGGTTTATATGAAATCGAATGTTGATACCTTTTGTATTTTTCTGTTCACCATCGTAACTATGAGTTATAACTATATGTAGCAGTTTGCTTGAGAAGAAAATGC